GGGGGGAGGCAGCCTGCATGGAAATGCCGGAGCGTCTCACCATCCCCTGACCCGGCTCGGCAAGCTCGGCGTCTCCGGCTGCTCGGGCGTGCGTGCCCAGGAGGGCTGGAGCCCAGGCTGGCAAGGGTGGTTAAGTGGTCAGCTCGCTGAGATGGGCAGGAATTAAAGCCTGAATTTCTCTCCTGTTCAGGCTGCTGTGGAGTACCCGAGGTCTTGGGTCGCTCACCAGGCTTGGGGCTCGTCGGGGCAGGTGTGGGGTTGGTGGATGGGGAGCTGGGAGGTTTCGGAGGAGGAGGAGGAGGGTGCGCTGGTGTGTTTGCAGAGACCGAGCAGCTCGTGGCCCGGCTGCGTGTCTGAGTCAGGCGTGGGGACGCGGAGCAAGCGGTGGCTGCTGGCGTTGGGGGTTGAATTGGAGCTGGGCGATTTAACGCGAGTTAGGTGAGAGGAGGCGGGAGAGCAGAGAAACCACCAAACTCCAGAGCAGCTTTGGGCTGGGCGATGCTTTGCTCCCACGTGGGAGGCTGTGGTCCGCTCTTGCCCTGCTGCTGGATTTCGCCAGCCTCTCTCTTCCCCAAATTTGGATTTTCCGTGTGCCCTGCACCAAGGGACGTGGTTTCGCAGCCTCCCTGGTGAGAACATGAGGAAGAACTTATTCACTCTGAGGGTGACGGAGCCCTGGAACAGGCTGCCCAGAGGGGCTGTGGAGTCTCCTTCTCTGGAGATATTCAAGACCCACCTGGACGCGGTCCTGTGCAGCCTGCTCTAGGTGACCCTGCTTCGGCAGGGGGTTGGACTGGATGACCCACAGAGGTCCCTTCCAACTCCGACCATGCTGTGATTCTGTGGTGAGAAGCCCCAGTGGGAGGGGAGCGCAGGCAGCTCCGGTGCGTGCAGACCCCTCTCTGCACGGGCAGGGGGTCACCACCCCCAGGCTGCAACCCCGATCAGGGTCCTCAGGGTGGTGGGCTGGACAGAATGAGGCCGTAAAGTCCAAAAATGTGATTTGGAGTGGTGTCTTCAAAGGGAAGATATTCCTTCTAGTCCTTATCGTAGAATCATAGGTTGGAAAAGACCTCTAAGATCATCGAGTCCAACCATCCACCCAACACCACCATTCCTACTAAACCGTATCCCGAAGTGCCACATCTACACGTTTTTTGTTCTCCAGTGGGAGTAAACACAGCTTTTAACACCCTCCAAATCCCCTGGGTCTGCTGCCAAAGAGATTTTCCTGCTGCTACTAATCCCGCGGTGGTCGACAAACAGGGCTGCCTTGTCTGGTTTCTTCTGAGCTGCGGGAGAGGGGTTATTGGTGTGCTCGTGCGTCTCTCCTGACCTTTGGAGATCGGGAGGGATTTCGTGCAGCCACGTGTTGTGTCCTCCCACGTGTTGCTGCGGCGGTCCTTCTGCCAAGTCCTCGCTCGTGGTCCGAGCCCGCCTTGGGAAGGTCTCCAATGATGCCCATATCTGGCTGCAGGTGGATTGTCCCCTTCTGTAGCCAAGATGTGGCTGTCCGTGTCCGTCCTCTGTGTCCTGGTGGCCTTCGCCAGTGCTCGCAGCGTCCCTTACTACGCTCCCCTCTCCAGCGACCTGGTCAACCACATCAACAAGCTCAACACCACCTGGAAGGTGAGTACCGGGCTGGTGTTTGGGGTTTTTTTTCGGATGCGTTACTCAACAGTGGGACTCAATAGCTGAGTCTCACCGCGGTGGTTGCATCAAACCTGCCTTAGTCCCAGCTGACTGCTCTGGTGAGTTGGTGCCATCAGGGATTCCCGCGGTGACAGTAACTGTGGAGCTTCTCCTCTTTGGAGCGGAGCGTTGAGGAATTTGTAGAGTAGCAGAAATGCTAAGAGGAGGAAGCTCTCTGGGAGGCTGGAAACAAGCAGCAGGTGTCAGGCTGTATTGGTGGCCTGGCCAAACCCTCCTTGGCCAGGCTGGTGTGGCCGAAGCCTAAAGTTGGACCTTAGCTTACTGGTCATGATGCGCTGATCCTGGAAGGGGCTGTGTTCGGTGTCTGTCGGTAGCTTGGCTTCTTGGCCCCTGGGTTTTATAGCAAGTGTCGGGCACTGGTTGGGTTTGAGGGAGATCTGGACCCCCAAGCTGGTCCCAGCAATGCCCTTGGGGGCTATGGAGAGTCATGTCCCATTTCTTTGTGTCTCTTCCCAGGCAGGGCACAACTTCTACAATGCTGACATGAGTTATGTGAAGAAGCTCTGCGGCACCTTCCTGGGTGGGCCCAAGCTCCCCGAGAGGTGAGTTCTGGGAGAAGATGGTGAGGGCCCTGCAAAAGCTTGTGTGGATGCTCCTGGTGTGTCCAGAGTGGGTGAGGGTCTCTCCTGGCAGACTGTGGACGGGGTTCCCCTGGGTGCAGCTTGGTGGATATCTCATGTGGAGCTAATCATGCATGGGGGAACATCCATCCTCCGTCCTGCCAGATACTTCACCAGTCGTGTAATTTGTACTAGTTGAAACTCAAAACACCGGAGGAGCTGCTGACCTGGTCTGAGGGCTTCAGAAGTATTTATTCTTCGCTAAAGCAAACAAAAAGATCCCTCGTTCTCCAGGTCAGCTTCAAAGGAGGTTGGAGAGACCTGTACACGCAGTCCTGTTACACTGGTGTTCCTGTAACAGGACCTCCCTCTTCTCACTTGCAGGGTGGACTTTGCTGCAGACATGGAGCTGCCCGATAACTTTGACTCACGGACGCAGTGGCCGAACTGTCCCACCATCAGTGAGATAAGAGACCAGGGCTCCTGTGGCTCTTGCTGGGTAAGAGCATGGGCGGTTTGAGGTGTCGATACGGAGTTTGCTGGACAAAAAACAGGCTGTTGAGTTTGCTACCGATCTGCAGAAGTGGGGGGATGCAGGGGATCCTGCATTGTCTGAGCTTCTCGGGGGGCTTCTCCCAGCCAAGCTGATGCTTGCTGCCCTCATTACCAGAAGGTTGCCTGGTTTCCCTCCCCTGGCCAGCTCTTAGTGGTCTTCCCTTGGGTTTCTGGGGCTGCCCACAGGCTTTCGGTGCCGTAGAAGCAATTTCGGACAGAATCTGCATTCACACGAACGCCAAGGTGAGCGTGGAGGTCTCGGCGGAGGACTTGCTGTCGTGCTGCGGCTTCGGATGCGGCATGGGGTGAGCTGCTCTTGGTTCTTGCACGCTTAAAAGGTGGGTGGGAGGAGCAGGGACACAACCCGAAGACACTGGTCGTTTCAGCCCTGTCTTACTGGTCTCCCTAATGAGCAGGAAGCCCCACCAGTCGTTGGCCCTGTAGATGCTGGAGTTATGTGGGAACAGAAAGGTTGAGTGTATGGACTGAAAGTCCCTCTGGGCCACGTCCTGCCTCCAGCAGTAGGTGGGTGAGGATGGATGGAGTAGGGAGGGCAAGCACATAGCGATGCTTTCCCACACGGAGTTGGCAGCTGCCTTGTGCCGAAGGAAGGATCTTTTAGCAGCCCCAAATCCTCGGTTTTCAGCCACAAGCTTTTTGCCTGTGGCTTTTGCAGTTGTTGAGGGCAGGGTGGGGAGTTGGGTCTCCAAGTTCTGTGTCTTCTGCTGCTCCTGGCAGCAGAAGCTGACCACAGACGTCGTAAGGAGGCACCACTGTGTTGGGATTCGGAGGCACGGGTGCTCTTATCTCCTTCTTGCCCTGAAGCCTTGGTATCTTGATGCCTGGAAATTCAGGGGAAGACAGGGACAGACTTAAAAATATTCAGTGTGCTGAAAGCTTCCCTTCAGCCATCCCAAGCTGGCTCCGTTTCCCCCATCTTCCCCAAAAGAGGAAGGCTCTGAGCAGGAGCTGGAGCTGCTGCCTCTTTCTGCAGGTGCAACGGTGGTTACCCCTCCGGTGCGTGGAGGTACTGGACAGAGAGGGGCCTCGTGTCCGGGGGTCTCTACGATTCCCATGTGGGTAAGTCCTGGCAGATAGCCTTGTGGGAGCAAAGAGGAGCATCTCTGCTTGGTTGCAGGTTCACGTCCTTCTCTTCTGGTCTGCATCCTTGGGGCTGCTCCCTCCTTCAGATCTGGGCTCAAACACCTCTGCCAGCCCAGCGGGCTGCTCCTGTCCCTACAGCTCCTTTTGGTCTCTCCTTTGGGACAGGGGTCCCCGAGCATCACCTGGTGGCGGAGACCCATCCAGGACAGGAGCACAGCAGCCAGACTTTGTTGTTGCTGGTTTTGGACCAGTTGAGTACGCTTTGGGTGAGAGCAGGATTCCTCCTGACGTGTTTCCACCTCAAAAAGCAACTTCTAGACTGGAAACATCTGCTTCCTCCCAGCATGGCCATGAGTTGGTTCATGTTTCCATCTTTTCCATCACCTTCAAGAGGGAGGTGGTGGTAAGCAGGTCCAGAGGGAAACCCATTGCTGATGCAGGGATTGCTCCTCTGGCAGTGTCAGACCTACTTTTGCTCGCACCCCACTGATCTGTGGGGTTTTTGTGGGTCAGAAAGTTCACACCCTTTCTTGGGGTCTGGTGCCTTCTCCAGTGTGGCTGTTGGGGACAGGGCAGCTTGGGGACAGGCAGTTCACGCCATCTCTGTTCTTGACAGGCTGCCGTCCCTACTCCATCCCACCCTGCGAGCACCACGTCAACGGCTCCCCCCCCCCCCGCCCCCGGGTGAAACCCCCAAGTGCAGCCGGCACTGCGAACCCGGCTACTCGCCCTCGTACAAGGAGGACAAGCACTACGGTAAGGGAGGTGGCCCCTGACCCTGCTCGATGCGCAGCAGCTCCAGAGCTGCTCCTAGTGGTAGCTTGGTGGGGTTGGCAGGGTTGGACCTCTTCCTGAGCTGTTTTATGGTGGTTATTTTCTGTGCCCTCAGGATGGGTTGGTCCTGGAGCAAACGTAACCCTGGCAGATGCATGGGTTGTATTTGGTGAGACTCAGCTGAGCTGGGGGAACTGATCTGAGTCACAGAATCGCAGCATGGTAGGGGTTGGAAGGGACCTCTGTGGGTCATCTGGTCCAACCCCCCTGGCAAAGCAGGGTCACCTAGAGCAGGCTGCACAAGACCGCATCCAGGTGGGTTTTGAATATCTCCAGAGAAGGAGACTCCACAACCCCTCTGGGCAGCCTGGGTCAGGGCTCTGTCACCCTCAAAGTAACGAAATTCTTCCTCGTGTTCAGGTGGAACTTGAGTCCTCAGAACAGAGTCCTTGTGGTGCACATGTCTGGGTTAAAGAGCATGGTGCTGAGCCCTGTCGGAGTCTGGTGTCAAAGCTACCTCCTTCCTACTCCTTGGTGGTGGCTGGCCCTGTACATGTAGGATAGTCTGGCTGCTTCTTGGAGATTTGTCTCAGCCTCAAGTAATTTGGGTTGTGTTGGAAATGAGGATGTACAAGGGGAAAACTTCCCACTGAAGCTGTCTGGAATAGCTCTTTGGGTGCAGAGTAGGACTCGGGTTAAATCATTCCCTCTGGAAGAGGGATGGTTGGGGCCCGCTTTTCCTGCCCGGCTGCGTCAGTGCCTCTGGAGCAGCCGGGTTTCGATTTAACCTTGGAGTGGAGAAGGCCTCTTGCATGGGCGCCAAGCAGTCACTGTCCAGCCATCCCAAGACCTGTGTGGCCTGACCACACCGTACTAATGGGACTTTTCCTCTCTAGGCATCACATCCTACGGTGTCCCTCGCAGTGAGAAGGAAATCATGGCTGAGATCTACAAGAACGGCCCGGTGGAAGGAGCCTTTATTGTCTATGAGGACTTCCTGATGTACAAGACTGGTGAGCGTCCGCACTGAGGCTGTAGGGAGCCCCATTGCCTACTTTATCTGTAGGGTCTGCCGTTTGTGGCCATTGTCCCTCTACTGAAGTCTGAAAGGAGATCTCAAGTTCATGCTTGAGTTGCAAGAACATGGGCAGATACCATCTTCTGTATTCATTGGTTTATAGCAAGGGGAATGGGTGCTTGGGACTGGCTCGGGGAGGAAGCCCCAGTAGGGACCCTCCAGAATTGTGGCTGAGAACAACAGCTAGGGTTTTGGGTAAAATGCTGGCAGATGGCTCTCCTGGTGTGGACGCCAGTTCCCTGTTCTGAACTGCTTGGGATGTGCCAACTTTGGGACCCTTGCTGAATGTCTCTGTGTGTCCTGAGCTGGTGCTTAGCATCAGTCCTTCCTCCAGACTCCAAAAAAACCTTCTCAGCTGGTCTCTGGGCTTTGGTATCGAACGTCTCGCAAGCTGGCAGCGCTCTGAAGTTGGGGGAGATGTGGTGCCTGTTGACCTGTTGGTGCGTTGCCTTGCAGGGGTCTACCAGCATGTGTCCGGCGAGCAGGTTGGAGGCCACGCGATCCGGATCCTGGGCTGGGGGGTGGACAACGGCACTCCGTACTGGTTGGCTGCCAACTCGTGGAACACCGACTGGGGGGACAACGGTGAGGCACCCCCGGATGCTGCCGGGGGGAACCCCTTCCCCGCTCTCCTTCGCGTGGTGGGGAGGTTGACTTTGGTTCTTGGTGTGCTTCCAGGCTTCTTCAAAATCCTCCGAGGAGAGGACCACTGCGGCATCGAGTCCGAGATCGTGGCCGGCATCCCCAGGCCAGAGCAGTACTGGAAGAGGGAGTAACCTTGATCAAACCACAAATAATCCCGAGTCCCTGACGCTTTTAACTGATAGTGGGTTGGGTGCAGAGCCTCCCCCCGCAAGAGACTATAGTTCAAGTTACTTTATTAAAGCTTTTTATCTTTTTTTTTGGTTGTTTTTTTTAATTGTGTAGTGGAGCTGGAGGTGGAATTGCTCTTTGCAAGCCCTCTGCTCCTGGTGGGTTGCAGCCATGGAGCATTCCCTGCTCAAAGGACTGCTGGAGGGCTCGCTGGCCTCTTGCACCGTGGTGTTTGCTTAGCCCGGACCCCTTCCAGCCCAGTCTGTTACTGGGAGGGTAGGAAGCAGTAGCTTTGTGCTGGGACGAGGGACTTGGTGGGGTGGCAGAGGTGGACCCTGCTGGGCAGCCACAGCCAGACGTGATTTGTGCACCCCCGCCTGGGTTGGTCTGGCTGTTAGCACCCAAAACAAGCAGGGAGTGCCAGCTGGTGCCTCGAATTGGCTAAACTCAGACCTGTTAATGACAAAATATTGACAAACTTGATGTGGCTCTGGCCTGAGCTGCGTGAAGGCCCCTCCTGCCTGCAGCAAGTCCTTTGTGCACCGCTTGCTCTGCTCCAGCCATTCCACTGCTGTTTTAAACCACTTGTTCCGCAGCTTTTTATTTGTTTGGTGTTTTTTTTTCCTGCTGTACTCTGGGGTTATTGATCTTAGGGAAGGGCCTCAGCTGGAGCTCCATGAGCCTTGGATCAAAAGCCCTGCGAGCATCTAGGAGCACGCTGGGAAAGAGCAAACCACCCGGGGCTGGGCAGCTTGGGGCGTGCGGGGGGTCGTGCCTCGGCGATGGGGCTGCACCCAGAATTGGCGTGGGGCTTGGGGACTGCGGGTGCTGAACGCTGAGATGAGGGACGTTACCCAGGTACCTCGTGCAGGTGCTTGGAGGTATCGATCTCGCTAACTTGCACACAAATGAAGCTTTTTGGGTTTTCTGAAGCCACACGCGTTAAGGAAGAAGGAAAAAAAAACTTATTTTTGTTACTGGGGGGAGGTGTAATGGCTGTGTAGGAGGAATCTTGTGATTTGCCAACACTAATATAGTGAAAGAGGGGTTTTCTTTTTGTTTTGTTTTAATTTTAAAGCACAAAGTATATTGCTGAGCTGAGGCTGCAGGCCTGAAATGCGTGAAGCGGGCTCTCCCTTGCACTGTAAAATAGCCCCTTGCCTCTGCTTCCTCAGACGCCGGTTGAGACAGAGCTGTGCTGTATCTGACTGGAACAACTGTGCCAATAAATGGTTTCTCCAGTGTCGTGTCTCCTGGCCCTTGGTTGCTTCTGCTTGACTTCAGACCACCTCAGACTGTTCTCCTGTTGTTCTGTGCATTGCAGAAGCCAAGTGAGACCCTTCCATCTCCATGCAAGTGTGGCTGGTCCCAGTATGGCTTATCCTCTGGCCGTACTGGTGCCAACGTGACTTGTGCTGACTCCCGAGGAGCCCCTGGGCATTGCCTACTCCTGATGGGAAGGTGCTTCAGCATGGACCAGACTGGCCCCAGCATCTCTGTGGGGGGAGGAGGATGCACCAAGGCACTGGAGAGCATGCCAGCAGCCCAGGGCTGTGCCACCGCTCGTGCTGCCTGCAGTGCAAAGTCCATTAAAAGTTAATTCATGGACCTTGAGCTGTCTGTCACACTGGTTAAAATTCTTAAATTAAAATCTGGGCTCCCCAGTTCAAGAAAGATGAGGAGCTACTGGAGAGAGTCCAGCGGAGGGCTACGAGGATGATGAGGGAACTGGAGCATCTCTCCTATGAGGAAAGGCTGAGGGAGCTGGGTGTTACGAGGAGACCTTAGAAATGCCTCTAAATATCTCCAGGGTGGGCGTCAGGAGGACGGGGCCAGACTCTGTTCAGTGGTGCCCAGCGACAGGACATGGGGCAACGGGCACAAACTGAAGCCTGGGAAGTTCCAGCTGAACATGAGGAAGAACTTCTTCCCTCTGAGGGTGCCGGAGCACTGGAACAGGCTGCCAAGGGAGGTTGTGGAGTCTCCTTCTCTGGAGATACTCAAGACCCGCCTGGACAAGGTCCTGTGCAGCCTGCTCTGGGTGACCCTGCTTCAGCAGGGGGGTTGGACTGGATGACCCACAGAGGTCCCTGCCAACCCCTGCCATGCTGGGATTCTTCCTTGGGGTCTGGCATGCAAGGCTTTACTGTGATGCCCCGAGCGCATTTCATCTGAGCTGAGGGCTTCTAACTTGTGGCATGGTGGGGAATTACCAATGTAAAAGAAATGACGGCTGATTAAAAAAAAATAAAAAAAGAATTATCATACATGTTTTTCTCAAAGAAAACTTTAATTTCAACAAGACAGGAAGCTGCACAAAGAGAGCTACCGTGAGTTTCTTTTGAACAACAGCTTAAAACTATCTACACCGGTACTTGTGGAGTGGGGGGGTCTTCCCTCCGAGGAAGTCTGGCTCAGGGGCTTGGCCTTGCAAAGGCCACCGCACTGCGCCTGGTAGCCTGAGCTCTGTCCTCCCCTTCACAAAGGCAAAGCAGCACTTGGGGGTGGATGGGGACCACGAAAACAAGAATCTACCCCAGGAAAACAGGACTCGCTTTTGAAGCATTACTCCTCCTTGGAGCAAGTCCAGCCTGATGCGTTTCAAAACAGTGGAAGCCTCTTCCAGTTTGCCTCAGTCCAGCCCAAAGCATCATCCCGACCTGGAGCCCAGCGGGCCAGGGAAACCTGCCCCAGACCCCCCCCCCGTGGCTCCCCCCCCCAGCCCACCTCCTCCATATGTAACATTTCAAAGGGCTCGTTTGGAGCCTAGCAGCTTCCTTCAGCGCAACAGCAGAAAGGTGGAGGTTGCCTCTGCCCGTTTCCAGGCTGCGGGATGCCAACCAGCCTGGGCTGAGGGACAGAAGGTGGCCAGAGCTTTGTCCCTGGGTGAGGAAGCGTATTCTGCTCCCAGCCAAGACAACATCCTTCCGGCGCGGAGCAGGCACCAGGGGTGATGGGAAGAGGCTGCCTAAGAAAGGGAGGCAAAACCCAGGTGGTTTTGCTCAGCTCTGAGCTGGAAAGGTGTCTCAAACCTCAAGCAAGAAAAGAGGCAACTGGAGTTGCGATTTAAAAACTATCCTAACAAAAAAAAAAAAAACCAAAAAACAAAACCAACTCAGGTAAACCATCCAACAGGAAAAGGAGGGGGGAAAAAGAAAATAAAAATATTCAACCCCAAACAGTAAGACTCCGACTAGTGTTTGTGACCATCCAAGCAGACAGCAAGGTCAGTGAGGAGCGGAGTCCGGCAACACCGCACCGTCGCCCCGGGGCTGCAGCCCACCGACGTCCCGTCCTCGTCACCGTCCCAGGCCCCGT